ATGATCTCTCCAGATGTGCCCATGCTGCCCTGGTGAGGGTCCATCTAACAAAATATCTCAATGCTTCCTACTTGTTCTCTGCCTTGCAAGTGGACATAGAAGATTCATGTGTGTGAGACATCTCACAGTGTTGATATGTTGAGAAGGGGAGGCATTTTTACATGGGTGGAAATATCACGCAGAATGATATGATTTTGTCCTAAAGCAGGAAATGCAACATTTTGGCCTGAAGTTTCTCCTGGACTTTTGTCACCTTTTATGCCCATTCTGACAAAGTGCATATAAAATGCCAACACTGTACAGTTGTGGGTGTATAACTGTATCTGTCTACTACAAAACTACAAACTAACACATATGACAGTCCAGAGTGCAAGCTAGTGAAAAATCAAGACTAAAACTGGGTAAAAACAGCAACATAGCAGATATTCCCTCTGATCTGTGAATCTACTGTGACCTGTGAATCTAGCAGTCTCCCCAGGGAGAGAAGAGAGCAGCACCTAGCAGTCCTCTGCTAAGACACTGAAAACTAGATTGGAGAAAACTCCAGAGAACATACTGCAGAAATAGCCCACATCAAACAAACTGGTGAAGGATGAGTCAGATAAATCATCACACATCTCCTCATGAATTGGAAAGTGGTATTAACTGGCCCTGATGTCAGCAGGATTATGCTGCTGTTCCACAGTGAGAATCCTCTGCTTTTTACCACTATGATTTAGCAATGCCACATCTTGAACTTTGTTTTTCATCCTGATTTGTGTGTCCTTTATGATATCACTTCTTGCTGATGTTTTTTACCAAATGACAAAAGATTTCTTCCTGTCCTGAAAATCAATGAAACAGTGCTAAAGCTGGTGAGAAATAAGACACAGCTTAGTGGCAATAGGATGCAAGGGTACACAGGGTATTTTACCTCATTTCTTTAGAGGCATATGAGAGAGAGAGGGGAGAGTAGCTGAGTTCTGCTTGACAGCTCTCATTGGGAAGGTAGACCTCTTGGCCACCCACACTAGTGGAAATTAGCTTGTTTGCCATGAATCCAATATTTTCTTTCTCTCACTCATCTCTGTCCTGCACAAGACTTGAGTATGTGGTGAACTGAATTTAAAGGCCTTTCTGCTACTCCTTGACTTGAACATCAGTCTAGATTATTTCAGACATGGTGGAAAACTGAGCAATTTTTGGGCTGCTTCAAGAGAGAGGCATCTACCTAGCACTAACTGAGAAGCAAAAAGGGTAGCAAGAACCTCAACACAAGTTCTCTACCATCCAGGGATCTTTGAGTGTCGTCAGGATTCCCTGGGAGTTAGATTTGGCCCTACAGTGCTGTAACAAGAATATCACATGGTAGAGAATTGTGTTTTAACCTGCTTATCCTAAGAGTAAGAACAGCACAAGAAACACTGTGAGCTATTCTGGGGGACTCTGAGATTACCAGCTCCCCTGCCTCAAATACAACCAGTTTTCCTGCTTGTGTTGCTAGGACATTTATGAAGAGCCTGTTATTGTACAAGCAGGAACCCAGTTTCCACGCGAGTGTAATGGCAGAATCAGTGTGACTGAACAGTCTGTGTGAATTGGACAGGGCACTCAATATCAGAACAGGTATTCAGGAACTCTCAGTGCCTGCTCCTGTACTTGCTATGTTATGTGTCCTTCCGTTGTGCTATCTTGAAGAAACTCAGGATTCCTGGCTAAAATCTGTGCACGTTTTCAGTGGAAAGCCACAGAAAGTTTTTAATGAAATGAAACACTAGTGGGTGGTGACTATGTTCCTTGAGCTTCATTGCCTATCCTTGGCTGTGTGCTTTTATGCCCTTTCATTCATCTTGCATTTACCTGTGAGAAAAGAGAAGCTTTGCTTGCAGAGTTTGCTTTTCTGCTGTCTAACTGAGTCTTCAGTCTCAGACTTGGGCTTAGATGGTTATGAGCTGTGGGTTCTACTCTCAGCTCTGTAATTCAGCATGTCTCTTGTTATAAATGCATTGGAGAAGAGCAGAACTCCCTTCACTCCCCAGCGGTGGGTGATCAAGTCATTTAAGAAAATTGCTAAAACTTGGGGCAACATAACCTGCTTTGCCTTCCAACCATACTTGAATCCTATTTTAATCAATAATGTATTTTGCCTTTGAATATTTTTTATCAATAGCCTGTTTTGCCTTTAGCTCATGGTTGTAGCACTGCTGTATATAAAAGGAGTCATGGAATCATAGAATCACAGAAAGCTTAAGGTTGGAAGGGACCTCTAGAGGTCATCTAGTCCAACCCCCCTGCACATGCAGCGTCACCTAGAGCACGTGGCACAGGACACATGTGGATTTTGAAGATCTCTGGAGAAGGAGACTCCACAACCTCTCTTGGCAACCTGTTCCAGCGCTCTGCTACCCTCACCATTAAGAAATTTTTCCCTAAGTTCCTGGGGAACTTTTGATGCTTCAGTTTCTGGCCATTTCCTCTAGTTCTATCAGTGGCCACCACTGAAAAGAGGCCAGCACCATCCTCCTCACTCCCTCCCTTGAGGTGCTTATAGACACTGATTAGATCCCCTCTCAGCCTTCTCTTCTCCAGGCTGAACAGGCCCAGCTCCCTTAGCCTCTCCTCGTAGGGCAGATGTTCCAGGCCCTTGATCATCCTTGGAGCCCTGCGCTGGACTCTCTCCAGCAGCTCCACATCCCTCTTGTCCTGTGGAGCCCAGAACTGGGCACAATACTCCAGATGCGGCCTCACCCGGGCTGAGTAGAGGGGCAGGATCACCTCCCTTGACCTGCTGGAGACGCTCCTCTTAACGCCCCCCAGGATCCCACTGGCCTTCTTGGCCACAAGCGCACACTGCTGCCTCACGGTCAACTTGTCATCCCCCATGATGCCTAGGTCCCTCTCTGCAGAGTCCTGAAGTAGTGCTCAATTTTGTTGCACAGTATCAAGGGAAAACAAGTTGATGGATGTTTTTGCTGTCAAGGAGTTTGTAGATGCACGAGCTAAAGCCGCAGTACTGGGCCATATTGCCATAGACATATTTTCTGGAAAAAAAAAAAAACAGCAATAGGAATTTAATAAGACAAAAAGCGCTTGTTGATCCAGTAGCACATCTTTAATTAAATGCATTAACCTGGGAATTGCACACGTCTTACAAGTGATCCATATAGAAATGTTGTGTAGGGAGATACTTAAAAGAGAGCTTAAAAAGCCAAGGGAGAGAGGGAAGTGAGGATGCACCTATTGCCCAAGTTGGAAGCAAACACAAGTCTGCCATCTGATGGCACTGAAGGGACCAGGCCCAAAAGCATAAACAGTCTCAGTAAACAGAGGTTCACATCCCAGTTAGCATTCTCACTAATTCTAAACATGAGTGAGTCACAAACTCAGCATTGGCATGTGAACATCCGAGGTGATAAGCTCACAGCATGGGCCATGCCATGGTTTTTGTACATGCCAACTAGCTTTGCCCCAGGCAAAAACTAGTTCCGATTCTTTGTCCAAGGCAGCCACCCTATTCTGCAGAGTAAGAGATCTTGGCCATATGGACATGAGCTATGTGGTGCCAGCTGGCCTCAGGGTCAGGGAGCAGTCCCTGGCCTATTTTATTTGCTGTTATAGATGTAATCTGATAGTCCCTCAGAAAATCCAAGAACTTTCTGGTTCAAAGGGATCCCACAGTCCTCCATGGAATGACCACTGGAGATGGACTGATGCCACAGAGATATCTCATGGTCTCAAGTGGCAACGTCACGGAGGTATGGACATACCATTCTTGTGCACCATCCTGCACTACCCGGTCTTTTGTTGCACCTGTTTCTTTTCCCTGTTCTTTACCCAAACCTGAAATGATGCTGCTTGATTGACCTCTCCATTGCATGTATGGGGGAAGGCAGGAGAAATGGGAGATGGATGAAACTAGTCACTCCATTGCCTTAAGACCCCTGTGCGTTATTCTACCTTACAGCCCTGCAGATCTGGGTGGACCCTTGCCTTCACCACTAAATAGCCATCCGCAGGGGCACACACCTTAGTGGTTGCTTTGCCATGGCCTCAGGCACATGTTAGTGTAGCCTTATGTCCCTGGAGAAGTTGGTCAGCAGTAACTCGGAGACAATTAAACCAGGCCTGCTGCAATGGGGCGGGAGGGTGTCTCAGACTGGATGAGAGCAGCAGTGAGATCCTTCTAGCTTGAATAAAACACTCTGGTTCACCTTGTCCCTCCTGATTCCACTTTCTTCATCTCAACTCTGATCCCTTCTCCAATTTGTTGTCATGGAATTGCTGTTAGTGTTCATTTTAACTTTTCATGCGACCAGTATGCCAGTACACGGTGTTTGACTGAGAGACAGACCCAGCCTCAAGCTGCCCTCATTGCTTCCCACCAGGCAGCTCTGCCTTTGAAAAGAGATCCCACAAAACTAGAGAGACAGGGACAACCTCTCTGCTGAAGGATCTTGTTGAAGGTTTAGAGACATTTCTCTAGAAATCTATTCCAAATAGGAGAATATTGAATTCCATTTTGCAGGACTTTTCCCTATGAATCTTGCAAGCTACAAGTGTGACTATGAAGTTTTCTCTTCATGACCTTTTAAGACTAGGCTGGGAGTAGCAGTAATTAAGGGGGAATTATTCAACAGGCTGGCATGGGTGGTGGGCTCAGTAAGACGGTAATGTACATGCCTGATCTAGCTTATTCTGCTCTGCATGCCCAGAGCCTGATCAGTGCACCTGATGAAATGAGTGGTGGTTACGTGCCGCATTAGCATGGAGCTGGGCTTGGAGATCCAGTGCTTCCTTTGAGTGTCCTGTGCTTTCTGGCAGGGCTAGAAGTGTTTTGTGTTAGCTAGGCACTTGTCTACTACACTGAAGTCCATGGACTGTGTCCATGGCATGGAAGTGCCAGGCATTTTGAAACAGAGAGAAGCCTGAAGGCATGAAATCCACTATGCGGTGACTGTGTGCACGTGCAGGATGCTCTAGATCGTGGCTGACTAACCCTGGACCATCTCTTTCCCCACTAGATGCTGTAGAAGAAACCAAACCTACTGAAAGTGCCCAGCAGGAAGAGGTGAAAGAAGAAGAGAGCAAGGCGGACCAAGAAAATGCCTGAACATTAGGATATGAACTCCCCATTGCCCCTCCCTCCCCTATCCTCTATCCTTCCTTCCCACCCCAATCTTGATCTCCCCCTTTCCTGCTCACACCTGTGAGACTGTCCGTCCCTCTCCCATTCCCTCTTAAACCCTTTTTCTCTCTGTGTGGCAAACATTTAAAGAAAAAAAAAAAAGCAGGAAAAATCCCAGTCAAACAGTGTGGCTTAAACATTTCTTTGTTTCTTGGTGTTGTTATGGCGAGTTTTTTGGTAATGATGATCCAATCATTTTGGGAAAATTCTTGCACTGTATCAGAGTTCTTTGACCTGGCGCGTGCGTGTGTCTGTCTGCCCACCGCGAGCGCGCTCTCTCTCTCTCTCTCTCTTTCTCCTCTCTCTCTTTTCCAAGTGTGTGTGTGTGCAATGTTCCGTTCATCCGAGGAGTCCAAACCTGTCAAGTTAAAATGAAAACAAAAAAAAAAAAAGGGAAAAAGAAAATCCTTTTCTTCCATTTTCAATGCAATGGAATGAACTAAAGAAAAAAAAAATCCCAAAATATATAGTACTAAACCCCAGTTTGTTTTCAGAGCTAAAACAAAACAAAACAAAATGTGCCAATTAGCATAAGGCGTGGCTCCAGGCTCCTTTTTCAATCTGAACAATAATTATAATAAATGAGAATAATGATCATTAATACCACCGTGTCGCATTTCTATGCTGCCTCACATCCTGCTGGCCTGACTGCACAGACCGGTCTTTGGTGGGCTGTTTGTGGAGTGGATCCCCCTCGCCTTTACCTCTCGGCCACTGCTTTGCCATGGGTCAGCGACTGGCCGTTCTCCCTGGCACTGCTAAGGGTTTTTTTTAAGGCAAATAGGCTTGGATTTGGGGTTAGGCATTAGCACCAACTAACATCACAAAAATACCAAGATTGGTTTTAGGCAAGGACGAAATAGGTGGCTCTCCAGGAGATCTCTAGGCCCTGACTCAGGGAACCACAGCTGCCTTGGAAGGATAAGTCCAGGGTGCCCTGTGGGTCCCAGCAGAGGAACCAACTTTGATCTAAACTGAGGCTCTGACCCCATCAGGGGCTGACTGGGGACAGGGGCAGTGGGGCCTGCACTCCTCCCAGCAGCAGGGTCACCATACTAGGCTGGAGTTGGGAAGTCACTCAGGAACGTGGTGCAGCCCTCCAGAAATGGTCTTTTTGGCAAAACAGATTGGCTCGAGGCATTAAGTAAATTGAAGACATGGAGCTAGGTCAAGGTCTGGTGATGTGAGAGCCAGCTCATGGAGCTTTTGAGAAATATCTCACTCCTGCTTCCTGGAAAGCATGTGCTGAAACCCAGGTTGCTCACCCCCTTCTAATTATGGCCTAGGTTTTAGTTCTCACTTACAGCCTTTCCTTGCGGCCAGCTAAAAGCTTAGCTTGTGCTCAGTGCAGCAGGCAGAGCACTGCCTGATGAATCCCCACCAGCACTTCCACGGGGTGCAGGATTTTCCTTGGCACGTGGCAACCGAATACCCACCTTCCTCAGTGGATGAGACCTGACAGACTCCCAGCCCTGAGGGAGAGTGGCTGCCAGGGTCTGCTGTTCCGTTTATTAGCTGCGAGAGCGAACAGCTTAAATGTATTACAGGGGAAAAAAGAAAAAAAAAGAATTCTTTCTAAAGCCCTTTCATAAAAGCCCAGTTAAGAATGTAATAGGAAGTCCGAGCGCTGCTCTTTCACTGCCCTGATTATTATCATGTGCTTTCCCAGCAGCTTTCGCATGGCTTCCCGGCTGCCTTGGAGATGACAGCCAGCATATCCCGCAATATTGCAGTACAATACTGCTGTTGGCAGGACCAGCGTTAATTGGCCTCACAGATGTATCACCAAAAAGACGAGTCTGCCGACAACCCCGGAGCACCTCACTGGCAGCCCCGAGGCCTCCAGAGGGCTGGTGTGTCCTCCCTTCCCCACTCCTTTGTTCTCCTCCATGTCTTTGTTGGAAACAGGGAGGAAAGATGAACAGCATCTCCTTGGAGATCATCGTTTTGAACGTAGGCTGCTCACTGGAAATGCCCTCGAAACGCATCAGGATTCATTTCCATGTGCTTCCTGACATTGTATAGGAATGAGAGAGAGAGAGAGTGGGAAGATTCGGAAAAAAAAAAAAAAGAGAGAGAGGGGGAAAGAGAGAGGGGGGGAGAGATTGGACAGAGATTTTTAAAAATAGGGATTAGAGAGAGGAGGAAAAAAGATTTTAGAGTGGATAGATGGATGATAGGGAGAGAGAGGGGAGTATAGTTAGTGTAAGAAAGATTAGAGTGAAAAAGATGAGAGAGAGACAGGAAGAAATTAGATACTATGGAGCAATAGATGATTGATAGAGATAGTGAAACGTAGCTAGCTAAAGTAGATTAGACAGACTAAATAGGTAGAAAGATGGGCTGACTGACAGATAGGTATTGTGTCATACTTCATAAACAATATATATGCTAATAGTCCCATGTCATGATGGGTGGTAAACCCTGAGACACCTTCCAGCCTGACCTCAATTCAGCAAATGTAGCGCGGACATCAGGCATTGCTTGGACCGTATGTCGGCTCTCGCAAGCCTGCCTGTTTCCCCCGCGGAAGCGGCAGGTGGGCGGATGGTGTATGGAGAGGGAGAGTGCTCTGATGGACACAGCGGGCCGAGGTCTCTTCCCGAAAGGCACGGTGTCGTTGCAGCTCATAGCGCACCGGGTGCCCAGCCCAGCTCAGACACTGTAAACGCCCTGTGTCTCTAGGTACTGAATCAAGAGAACTGAGGTTCAACTCTCAGGAATAGTGGGAGAGGTGTTTGGGAGGAGGCAGGAAGGAGAGAGCACAGCTTTTATGTAGCTTCATCTCCTGTCATGACCATTTAAAAGGGTTTTCTTAAGGATTGTCTTGCTCATAACTGCAAGGACCATGTGGTCTCCCTACTCTTCTGACTTTAGATGTCAAATTTTTCATCTTGCCTACACATTATTATTACTCTTTTTTCTTTATAGGGAAAATAAATCTGCCCCTCATGTCTTCCTGGACATAGGCCACCCTCCCTCCTCAATAAACAGAAACCTTTTTCTCTCCCTGGGGGATGTTTATAGTTGCATTTTGCATGTTGCCTCCCCTTGGCTGATGGTTTGGACATCATATGTGTTTTCCCATCATTTGTAAGAGCATACTTTGTCTTGTTGCTTAGAGCAAAAAGTTGGGGGTGTTGTGTTTGGGGTTTTTTCTCCACAAAAGGAAAGGAGTATGTGGTTACCAATTGCAAACCTAAATAATCTTAATACTAGTTCCTCTCCCTCGGTTCCAGTTTAAAACTGCTAGTTGAAACCAAGCACTCCCTGTCTTTTTTACTGTGCAGTGTCCTGACCTGCAGGGTCAGCTACAGAGTCAGGGCAAATTTAGAGTAAGCGAGTGCACAAACCTGCCTTGTGCAGGCAGTGGTTTTACATGTAGTGCACAAGATCTGTGCAGGAAGCTGGACTGTCTTCAGGGTACAGCAGGAGAGCAGAGAAAAGCATTTGGATTTCCTTGAGTTGCCTCTTCAGCCAGAGTTAAAAAGGCTGAAAGGGAAAAGGATATAGCAAGAGACGGAAACTGGAAAGGCCTCAGAGAACAGGGGCATTTGAAGAACCATTTTCTAGCATGATATCAAATGAGCTAAGAGCAGCGCAAGACACAGAAGGTCCCAGAATCAAAGGGATGGAGCAGAGTATCCTGCAGAGTAGCTGGAGCTACTCTAGCATTCCTTCTGCAACAGCTGACATGAATTCCCCAGGGATTATATATCTGTTCCTCTTCCTTTCCCCCTAAAGGATGCATAGCCTGCCTGAAGGTGCCTGTGGTTGTTGCTTTATGTATGGAGAGGGAAGGGGATGTCAAAATGATTCATACTGGGAAGACAGTGTCTGACCTCATGTACCATGCTAGGAAAATTTGGAATCCAAGAAGGGCTTTTTTTCCTGCCTATGCAGTAAGATATGCTAGTGATCTACATCTACACTGAATGCTTTTACCAGTTACAGGCCAGCCAGCTCTTGACATTTCACCTCATCAAAATTAAGTTTTGGAAAAGTATATATACATATATATATATAAACTTAACACCCCGTCAATGCAGTATATCATTTGCTCCAATTTGTCTGCTTTGCAATGCATGTGGCATCCACAGACTATATGTATTGATAGTGTATGAAACACAACTCTTGCAACAGTTGCATCAGCCAAGAAAACTCCACCATGGGCCACATTCCAAAGGGAGGGGAAGCATATCCTGCTGAGATCCCTTCAGACACGGTGTTTTCCAACCCCAACCCTCATGCAGCCCCGTGAGAGGCCTTAGCTATAAAGAACTCAATTATGGTGGCAGGATGAGTACCGTCATTTAGGGAATGTGTTATTTCAAATGAAAGAAATGGCCATGACTGGAGGAGAAGGGTTTAGAAAAAAAGGAAGGAAGCAAAAAAAGAAAAGTGGGAGTTCATATAGAACTCCCCACCAAACTGGCGACAATTTCCTTTTCTTTCTTCTTTTTTTCTATGCTCTCCTTATGGCATGCTGTAGCATGTGAGGCTTTTTGTACTGAAGGTCTGGTGTTTGTTGTAGGTGTCTTAGGAGACAGACAGAGTGGTTGTGGCTTGCAGAGGTGAAGGAAAGAGAATGAATGTTCCTGTGGCCCCCTTTGGCCAAAAAGTCTATTTGGTGATCACCTATAGCTCAATGATGTGGGGTGGTGGGGTCCTCTTCCAGGCCTATGCTCAGAATCCCTGCTTTTCTACATTGCCACATTAGCACTTTCACTGGATATTTAGAGCACCTCAGGACTGGTTCTCCTCTCACTCACACTGGGGTAACTCAGGAGTCACTCCACTGGAACCAGTGGTGTTAATCTGGTGTGAAAATAATGTGAGAGGAGGATCCAACTCCTCGGGGGGAGGATTTTCCAGGTCCCCGAGGGGGAAAAAAAATCAATGGGAGTTACATGTCTAACTGCCACTTGTGCCTGTGAAAGTCTGCCCCTTGTTTACCCATATGTATATGGGGTACAATTTTCAGAATAGCCTAAATGACAGGACATTTAAGAGCACACAGGTCACTGTCTTTCAGAGAAAATTAACCTCCTATAGCTCAGATGCTGGAGGATTTTCAACCTCTTACCTACTGAAAGTTTTACGGCTCTGGCCTGAAATTCTCCAGTAATTTTTGAAAAAGGAATTTAAGATCTTGAGTCATTTAGGGGGTCCTGAAAATACTACCCTTTATCCATTTTCAGGGTGTTGATCTCAGGTCATGTGCGAGCCTGCATTCTTATCTACAATGCTTTATTACTACTTTTCTCTGTTGAGCAATACTTGGAAGAAGAGGTGAAGGCCGAGATTTGCAGAACTGACTAGTGACCGAGTCGCTCATTTCTGGAGTGCCCAGCCTGAGACACCTTTATGGGGGCCCAGTTAGCAGGTCCCCTGTGCACTCTGAGCATCAAGATTCATGTATTATACACCCAGAACCACTGGTCACTTCCAAAAA